ATACATTTTGGTGATCTAAATTCTAAACCCACCGCCATTTGGAATCGATGTATCCAAATCGTGGTAGTCGAAAATTTAGTGAATTCTGATAACTATGATTCTAAACAAAGATATAAAAATTCGAAAAACGTGACTCGGTTAACAACCTTACTAGGGCCCAGCTTTAATTCTTTTGGATGCACAAGGAATCCACCATTTTTGGACCAAAGCAGATTGGACCATTGTAAGGTCTGGGCTCTCTAACCCTCTGCCAGAAAACAATAGACCTTTGTTTCCTCATATTGCGTGCTCACGAGGCGCCCGTTTCATACACAACTTGATGAAAGGGGCTGTCTTTTTCTGGCACTCGTTCAATGTCATGTTTGGCAATACCTGGGATGATGACAGTGACCCCTGAAGCCAGCAGAAGAGCAAGACCATCAGCCCAAAACCATTGGATACTCATCTTGTGGTCCACTACAAAAACTAAAAAACAATCCCCACTGGTTGAACAAAAGACAAGACGATAGCATTTTATGTTTCTAGTACTTCTGTCAATACAAAAATCGGGTTTACGTTTGTAACCATGAAGCAAAATGACAAGTGATTGGAACAATTCTCGGTAACAAGATACTCATCTTGCGGTCTACCACAAAAATTGAAAAACAATTCACACTGGTCGAACAAAGGACAAGACCTTAATATTTTATGTCTCGAGTACCTCAGCCACTATAAAAAGCGGGTTTGCATTTGTAACCATGAAGCAGAATGGCAAGCAATTGGGACAATTCTCGGTAACAAGATACTCATCTTGCGGTCCACCACAAAAACCGAAAAACATTTCGCAATGACTGAACAAAGGACAAGACGTTAATGTTTTATGTTTCGAGTACCTCTGCCAATATAAAAAACAAGTTTGCGTTTTGTAACCATGAAGCAAAATGACAAGTGATTGGAACAATTCTCGGTAACAAAACTGAAAAACAATCCCCACTAGTTGAACAAAAGGCAAGACGATAATATTTTATGTTTCGAGTACTTCTGCCAATACAAAAATCGAGTTTATGTTTGTAACCGTGAAGCAGAATTACAAGTGATTGTAACAATTCTTGGTAACAAAATACTCATCTTGCGGTCTACCACAAAAACTAAAAAACAATTCACACTAGTCGAACAAAGGACAAGACGTTAATATTTTATGTCTCGAATACCTCAGCCAATATAAAAATCGGATTTGCGTTTGTAACCATGAAGCATAATGGCAAGTAATTGGGACAATTCTCGGTAACAAGATACTCATCTTGTGGTCCACTACAAAAACCGAAAAACATTTCGCAATGATCGAACAAAGGACAAGACATTAATGTTTTATGTCTCGAGTACCTCTGCCAATATAAAAATCAAGTTTGCATTTTGTAACCATGAAGCAAAATGACAAGTGATTGGAACAATTCTCTGTAACAAAACTGAAAACCATCCAATCTCATCTGAAGATATCAGAATAGAAGGGTCCTTTTTCCTTCCTTCACAATTACACCTATCACGAGTGGAATGTGTATATACCTGGCAAAAATATGTGGATGAAGAGCCCCATCCCCTAGGTCTGGTGCCAATCAAATTATTTTCTCAGTAAACATGGACCCTTTATGGCGACTTTGGATCTAGGTGCTTTTGTGTTTTGGATGTTGCTGTTCCTAGTAAATAACATGGCGAATTTGTGGATAGCGGTTGAATTAATGGTCATTATCTTCGTTGTTGAACTTTAAGATCGCAGGTTCAAATCTCGTCATCTCCCTCCACTACCAAAAAAAAAAAAATTTTAAAATGATAAGGAAAACTTTGTTCAAAAGACGGATAATTCAAATTGGAAGACTTTGGAGAATAATTGTAATTTAGCAACACGACGTTAGTAAATTAGGATTGTCTACCACTTGATATGAATTCAAAAATAACATGGCTCAGTAGCAGAAATAGTAATCAAATTGGTTAAATGTTAAAAAAATAACACAAATTATATGATCCTATCATGATAAACCTCTTAAATTGGTAATATTTAGTAAGGTGTTATCAGTTCTTACATCCCATTCTAGGGTTAACTTTTTTTAGTTCAATTATTCAAAGAATTTTTGGTTCCCTAGATGTATCCAAGTACTATCGTATCCTATTAAATATCAATAATACTATTTAGACATAATTTACTAATATAATTTATTAAAATAATTTATTATAACCATTAAATTGATTATAAGTTGTAACATATACTAGAGTTTACTATCAAAACAATAATTATGAATAATTGTATAATATTAGTTGGGTGTTTTTTTTTTTGGGGGGGGTGGGGTGGGGTAAATGTTCTAAAACATTTTTCGATCTAGCTATGATGGTATAATTGATATTGTCAATTAAGTCGTGGTATGTCTTGATCAATGATCTTATTTCAAGTTATTGTTGAGTGGATTTTTTGGAGGGCCATGTCAATGTGACATGCATTACTCAACAAAAGTACATTAAATCACAATTACGTACTCAACTCTTTTTGTACCAGTATTATTATTTTTTATTACTAGATCATGAGAAATTTTTACGTGGGTTTAAAACACTACATGACACTGCCATATGGCATACATAACAAAAAAAAAATCGTAAATGTCCAATAAATAGCTGACACATGTCACCTTGTCAAAAATTTTCTTGAAAACTCAACTTTTGTGGCCTCCAAGCTGTTTTTGTGATAGTTTCTTATTAAATATGTACACCATATAACAGTGTCACATGATATATTAAACTCATACAAAAATTTCTCATATATCATACATGATACCCAAAATGGCTAGCTAATATCAATTTGTTCACACTCTTGCTATGGTTTATATTTGCCTCCAAATACAACTCATTCCCACTCCATTATATGTATAAACTTTAAGACAAAAATGTTCAGAAGGTCAAAAGGAGGACCAATGGGTGAGGACTAAAAGATGAGAGTAGCCACAAAAGAAGAGATTTTTATGTGGAACCAACCCAACCCAACTCAACCATCTCCCTCTTTTCTCATGATCTCTAAATCCATCTCCTATTATTGTCTTCTTTCTTTCTTTCTTTTTTCCTTTTTCTTTATGGGTTGAAAACACACTAAAGTCTATTCTCTTGACTACCAAAAGCAGAATTTAAAAGGGGGCCTAACAAAGACATCTCAAACAATATCTTTGATATTGTCACCCAATTTCAACATTCTTCGCCTTTCACCTTTTCTCCTTTTTGTATGTGGGTGTTTGGTGAATCTAATTGTATCTCAGATCCTTTTTATTCCTCTCTTATGCCTTGTTTTACATGGTTAATGCTGCTAGATCTTGTTCTTCCCCTTTTGCTCTATATTCTTTGCTTCTATTTTTAAATTTCTACATAAAACAAACCACCAAGCTCCCCCCATATATACCCGAGAAAAAGGGAAAGAGGACAAAAACTTTGTCAGCATTCTCCCAGGATACATTTCCTCTCAATTTACTACCATCCGACCTTTCTGGGTGGGGGTCACTTTTACTAAGGTGAGGGTGTGTTTGGATCACAAGGTTAGACCGGATTGAAAGATCTAAAAATATATTCTTTCATATCTAAACTAAATTCACCGATCATTAGACTAGTTAGGATTTAATTACTATATTTTATCGTTTCTAGTGTTTAGATAACACAAAAGTACTTATGTGGGACTCATGGAGAAGGATGATGAAATATGGTATCGTTGACTGTTTTGCCTATAAACTATTCAATTCAATATCATGCTTGGTTTATAAATTAGTCTTTGACTAATTCTAAACAAATTTTTTTTACGTGTAATTTTTAAAAATATTGTAATTTCATATCTTCTAAACAGGTGTTTATATGTTACGAGAACTACTGAGAATTAACTCAAAACACTCATTAATTAATTATTTTATTATTAATTTTTAATTAATAGTAGTCCAAAGAAGACATTTCTTTATTAGAGTTAATTTATTATTTAAATTAGTTTTCTTGTTGGAGAAGACATCCTAGTTTTCTTGAGGTATGTTGGTAAAACCTTGTTGGACAAAACAAATTTGTTAAAAAAAAAAATGTGAAAAAACAGGAGAAGACGTAGCAGGCGAGAGAGAGAGAGAAAAAGAGAACATGGCAATTCAATCAGTTGAATTAGTTATCCCGTCTGGCAAAAAAAATCCAATCCCCCCCCCCCCCTTCCCTTCCGTTTCATTTAACTCATACAGATTGATTAAAGTTGACTTTTCAAATTAAATTAGAATAAAATTTTTCATATATTTTTTACTTACCAATGCGGTAGTCGGTGTGAGCAAAAATTATGCATACACATGTATATATATAGGCCCGACATTCACGGAACTTCCAAAGTCGAATATAATAATATGAACGAGTGTAATGGCCTAAGCATTTCAAATATCAAATCTAGAGAGCAATTCATTTAAGATGGAAGAATAAAGCCAGGTCATGATTCCCTTTAGTTTAAAGAGAGAAGAATGCACATGAAAGCTTTCTTGTGGCTCTCTTTTGTGCTACTGGTAAGTCCTAAGCAGTTTCAGACTTGGTGCTTTCCATTTATACACCTTACTTCCCCAAAGAAAAGCACCAACTAGCTGGTATAATTTTTAGATACCAGTATCAAAGAGCATATATATTATCAAGATGACAATTCAATCCACACAGGTTAGTTTAATGATCGAGCAAAAAGTTGGGTATAACTCTGCGTTTTGAATTTGAATCTCTGTGGTAGTGTAAAATCGGGGTAGTATCAATGCACATGATTCAAATTATACACATTACCAGTGTAAAAAGATAAACAAGAGAAGAAAAGCATTGCAAGACATTCTGTAGTAGCAACAACTTGACAATTCCCAATGCAAAGTTTACTGTTTCATAGTAGGTAGAAAGAAGTCATTGAGCTCATGGTCATTAGCCTCATTTCAAAACAAGTCTAACAGAGACTGCCTCTTCCAACGAGGTCAAACCAAGACTAATCCCTCTGAATCTAGCCCCAAAAACACCAGAGGCCGACAATATTTTCATCCCTCCACATGAAAACAAACTAACCCTCCTGACTAGTTTTTTAAAAGCAAAATCTATGTCCATATGGTCCTAAAAATAAGCTGTATTAACAGCAATAGCAAGTCCATACAAGTAAGAAGGGGTTTACAGATATAAATAGAGAGATAAAATTACACTTGGTTGCTATGTTTATGTTCTCTGCTTTCTTCCGGATAAAATGCCAACCATCTCTACCTCCAAAGTCCAAATCTCCATGCCCATTACTCATAGAGATAACACCACAATATTTGTGTGCGACTCTATGAATCAGGTACGGATAGAAATGTAAAGATGGTAGGCAATTTAACATTGTAAATAAAAGAACATCTACTGTTTATTGTACATATATAGGACTAGTCCATCAGGAAATAAGAGAGATACTGGAGGCCTAGCGATGAATGCTGAGAATATCTGCTGCTGCATTGTTATGCTGGTCAAGAGCTCGGCTCTTCTTGGACAAGGGCTCTGGTGAGGAAGAAACCGATGCTGCCACTGCCCATGATTCGTTTGAGCTGTCCGAACTGAAAGACATGTCCATGACCCCTTTGGGGCTGCCTGGCAATAACCTAAACTTGCGTTTGTTGGATAAGCAATAACGGACTCTTGAGGCCCACTCCTGGATTAGCTTAAAGCAATCATCCACTTTGACCTGCTTTAGTACAAAACTTCGCATAAGTGATGTGAATAATCAGGATTTCAAATGCAATCAACTAGCTGATTTGTTGTGAACGTACAATGTAATGAATAATCAATCAAGAAACGAAAACAATTGAGATAATGAACATAAGGATTAACATGGCTCGGAACAATTCTCTTCATTTCTCACTATTATGTGAAATCCAAATAATGTTACCAGTTCCAATAAGATGCAATAGGAATCAATTCAATTAAAAGAAGAAATATACCAACCTTCTCAATGCCAAGAATGCCCAATAGTTGATCTTGGAACTCTAGTCCAATACAGGGCTCTACACCATTGATAACATGCAGCATTGTGGCAGTGGCCATTACAGAAGGAAGATAACACATTACTCTACAATCTGCAAGTGTGAAAAAGATAAAAGGGGATCAGAAAAATAAGCACTAAAGTCAAAAAAACTACATTTATATTGCATTCATAAAGCAATATGAAAATCATTGGTGACCTGAAATGACAGAGAGAAGGAGACACTCGCATCTCTTAAGGAATTCCCAACAGAGGTGGTTCTTTAAGCCTAGCCTCCTAGTAATATAGTCAAGAAATGCAAGTGGGGTAACAGGGTTCATCTTCCATTGAAGAGAGGACAGTACTAATATCTCCATTCTCTGAATTGTTTTTGCCTCAAATATATACTTAGTCTCCTCCACCTATACGCATCAAAAACAAAAAAACCCTACATTACTGATAAAGCAAAGTAAATCTACACATATTTATACAAGAATCAAACATAATGATGTGAAATTAAATGTGAAAAGATTCATACTTGGAGGTCCAATAGGAGGGGCACTTGGGTCTCTTCAACTTTGGCAGCAAGAGAGAGACAGGCCACAGCAGCGAGTTGGGTCATCCATGGCTTCTCTCTCTGCAACTTGATGCTGAAGAGAAATCTATCAAGGTAGTTCACCGCAAGTACTGCAGTGAGAGCAGTGAACGAGTAGTGAGAAACCACTTCGAGCATCCACTCCACCGCCTCCCGGCGAGCCTCAGCCAATGATGGGTCGGTTTCAAAGCTATTATATAGAGGGTTTTGCTGTTCTTTTGAGAACAAAGAAGACAACTCTTCCTCTTCCCACAACAAGTCATATTCTTGCAACAATGGAGATTTGGGGCTTATACAGTCACTGTAATAGCTCTCTTCTTCTTCTTCTTCCTCAAAACCGTTCTCTCTCACTTCCTCCCAATGTTCTTCTTCACAATACAAAGCATCCAAGAGCAGTGAAGGGTTTTGTTCTTGGGCCATCTTCTTCAAAAAGAAGAGATTTAGGTCTGGGTTTATTAGTTCATTACACTCCAAAAGAGAGGCCGAGGATGAACAAGAGACATAGGCCTAATGGCAAAGCCTGAGCCATCTCTCTCTCTGAGTCTATGTGTTTGGTGGGAGGAGGGTTGGGAAGAGGGAGACTGAACATTTACCCAAAGGTTGCTTTTATTTTGTGGGCTGAGGGTTTCTTCCTCCCCTTCATCTACTTCTTTTTCGGTGGGAGTGTGGATTGAGGAGTCCTTGAATCATGGGTAATGACACACAATAAGTCGACACGTGACACTTTGTACAATCACCATGTCCTACACATATATTGCTGGACCCACAAAAAGTGGAGCCCAAGTGATGGGATGATATTAGCTGTATCAGCTATTTCTGAACCGTCAAACACGATGACTTTTTCTAACCAACATATAATGTACATTAGGGACCATGGTGGGATCTCAAGGGGACCCATCATTGGTCAACCTTTACATGCTTTACTACATGGGAAGACATTATGAATTTATTTGGTTGTCGTATTAAAAATAAATAAATTATATAAAATAATTTAGTCTAATATAATATAATAGAACAAAAAATAAGATTAAATAAAATATTAAAATAATATGTAATTTTATCTAGTATCTGATAATACACAATATAAACATTAAATAGTAATTATTTAATCCAATCAGTTATTTGATTAGAGAATTATTTCATCATATTAATGTTAAATTAACAAAACTACTCTCAATCAGTATTTGTTACATTGATAACAACTTAATTTTATTTGTTAGAGGATTATAATAGTAACTGTGTTGAATAATACGTTTGAGTTGGATTATAATACCACCTCTTTTAATTGTATTAAAATGTTTTTATAATATAAGTTTATCGTATAAAAAATATGCGATTAATATAAGTTTTTGAAATTAATATGATATCAAATTTATTTGCCAAACAAAATATTAGACCCGATTAAATAAAAAATAATACAATTTAATATTTAATCTCTTCATAATACGTCTATTAAACGTATTATCCAATTCAAAAAAAAAAAAAAAAAACAAGCCCTATATGTAGATCCCATGTAAAATTAACATTATTATTATTTTTTGTCGAGCAAAGAAACGACAAATTTCAAATCAAAAATCTTAAAGTTTAACCACAAAAATGATAGTCATTAGACTAACCAATAACTTCAAAATTAATAATAGAGGTCGGCTCGTGTTCTAGACTCCCATCGAAAATTAACCACATAAGCGATAGTCATTAAGCTAATCAATTCGGGTTCGGCTCATGTTTTAGACTCGAGTTTTAAACGAGTTACGTTTAAATAATTTTTTATACTCGTTTAAAAAATGAGTCTAAAAAAGTTCGGCTCGAACTCACAAATTTTAATTTTTTATACGTAAAATAATCAAATTACTCGGGTTTGACTCGTTTTGGACTCGGACTCGGACTCGCCTTATTTTTTAAACTAGTCGAGATCGAACAATTTTTTAGGCTCATTTAAAAAAACAATTTCGACAAAATCAAATTTGCAAAGCTGGACTCAATTCTCGATCCGGATTACACCTAGTTGATTATGCATATTTCCTGAAATATGCGTAATTCTAATTTGCTTGGCTTGTACTAGGTAGGATGATCTGAAACAAAATTATTCGTGATATTAGGAAATTCACACAAAATTCTTAAACTTGTGAGAAACAACAATAGAAAAAATACATGTCAAAAAAAAATAATCACACGCACAAGACAATATTTACGTGATTCGACAATTTGTCTACGTCCACGAAACTGTAGGGATTTCACTATTATCAAAAAAGAATAAAAAACGCCCCGTACAAAATTAATCAAACTCTAATCACCTAAAATAACAAATTTTATATGTCCTGCACCGGACTACAAAGCGGGTCAAGCCTCCACTCAATAGACTAAGCCATAAAAAATTTTTCATTAAAAATCACGCAACATTATTTTGGATCGAATCATCATTCGAATCAAGCACAAAAAATTAGACTCCACAAAAGGGCCGACACGTGATATTGACAAAACTCCTAAGAGTGGCATCTACATGAATTGCTTAGCCTCATTCAGAACAGAAGTTGCCTTGAAATTTCCCAATTCCTTACACCCAAAGCATAATTATTGTCATTTTCTCCCTCAAGCTCACATGATGCTTTATTTGCAAATGCAAAGAGAAATTACAAATGCTTCCCTATATGTAGGTTCGCTTGCACCTTATCACCATTAATTTTTTTTCACACACGTACACAAATTTAATTTAAATTTGTTATATTATTATTTGGATCTAAAATATAAAATTATAGGAATGTTCGATACATTGACATCTAGCAAATCTGAAGGCATTAAGAGGAGGTCACGTGACATAATTTGAAGAAAGACAAGAAATGATTAGCCACAGTCTTGTTTTAAAAGTAAAAATAATTGTCTGAGAGTTACAAGTCAAATAACAGTCGATGGAGGCAGAATTGTTGAACATAGTGGCTATAAAAGACAGACAATAGAGAAGTTAAAGGATACATTCAAACCCGAACAAGACTCACGATCTTGACATTTTTAGAAGTAGTTTTAGATTAATTTTAAAAAAAGTTATTGTTATAATCAAAGCTATTAAATCAGTCTTTTCTGTAACCAAAATCCTTTCGACCAGATTAAAAAAGAAAATCTCTTTTATTAGTTTTTTGTACTGTGTGATTATCTTTTAAAATTCATCCAAAAAAGTCCTAAAACAACGGCAATTAACTCCATTATAAACAATCGCCGAAAAATTATTTATTGATTGAGTTCCTTTCGTCAATAACAAGAGATTTTAGTGCAACAATTATATACCTCTCTTAGACTAAGAGTTAGGTGTTACTGTCACTCTCTCACTAAGTTTTCTGAAAATGTCTCTGTCCTAATTCCTTTTGCTCAATTTTCACTAAACCTCTATGTAATGCAATGGTTAATTATAAAGGAAACCCTTTTATTTCTGCACTTCAATCATTAGTTCCCAGGCGGCAAAGATTACTTTTAAAAACTGTGGAGATGATGTGAAACCAGATCAAATAACCAGAGGGTTAATTACAAAATGATCCTTTTAACTTTGAATAGTTTGCAACTTATTCTTTCATGTTTTAATTTTAATAAATTATTCCATTTAATTTTGAGTATTTTGCAATTAACTTCGGTAGTTATGTTTAGACAATAAAATTTGACAAAAATTAGGTATGTCAAATACATGTGATCTCTACTTTATTAAAAAGAGATAATTATACTTATCTTTACACCCTTTCATCTTCCCCTACCTCGGAATGATTAACTCTCATTATTTTCCTCCTTCTAGTAGAAATCCTCTCTTCCCTATGATGAGGCGGAGGCGAAGGTTTTTTTATTTTTTAGTCTTAACCTTTTTAGTATCTCAAAAAATATATATATGAGAAATAATGTACAAGACAGGGGCTGTAAAGGTTCTTTCAGGTGTTAAGCCACTATTGTTAGTCAATTTAATCCACTTAAAACTTAGAAGTAGTAAGTTACAGCATTCAAAACCAGAAGAAACTGATTACAATAAGGGATATAGTTGGAGGGGATAAATTATAATTAACCCATAACAAGAACATCAGTTCTAATTCAGGAGTAAATATTGGGCGTATCGATGACACCACATCATCATTATCACGTGATATACGAGCCAATAATAAATCTACATGCAGATAAAGTAAACGCAACTTTTTTACAGAAGATAATTATTTTCTTACATAGACGTAATAGTTACTAAGTTATATAGAATCCACTTACTTACATGATAGATTATTATTTATCAGTGACACCACATGACAACCGTGACATGTTGTCACCATTGCATTCAATTTTCTCAAGATTAGGGAAAAATGGAAATTTGGAACACCCAATATTAGCAGTCAAAATAATTCATGCCCCAAGTTCCAAATGATTGAGAAAATACGTGTAAATCCGAATTTGGACAAAATGAGACCTAATGATGCCCTCCATAGCCTTAAACCAAAACTTAGACTAATCCTAGGAACTTATAATTGAACAGAGTAATCGGCTTATGATTAGAGTAGACCGACAATGTATAGTCTTTCATAACTTAGAGCTCAGACACCAAACAGATAAGTTTTTGTTGATCAAATCTCAAATGTCATCTCAAAGTCTATCGTATCGAAAAAAAAATTGATATTGTATGGACATTTATTAAATTTGTAGGTATTTTTATCACTATTGTAGGTGTTTTTTCCACTGTTATAATGTTGAAAAAAAATAGTAAAAATAATTATCATAACAATAATAAAAACACTCACAACAGTGATAAAAAAAATGTCACAAAATCTGGTAAATCACCCACAAAAGTAATAATTATTTTTCACTGAAGAAAAGTTATAAAAATAACTATCACAACTGTAGTAAAAAATACTTATAAAAATAATAAATTATCCACAAAAATGATAAATTTTTTAATTATAAAATGACTCACAAAAATTATAAAAAAAACTATTAAAGTAATAAATTTGGAGGTACGGTACCGAATTTTTTTTTGGCTACCCTAGACAGACCTTGTTTACTAATCTATCATTACAAATTAATTCATGTTAAATACATTCTTTAGAGGGATATAGTATTTGCTTTGTGGAATTTTTTTTTTTTAATAATCGAGAACTATTACACCCACGTGTTTTCCTTGATTCATTACTGTTACTTCAATTTGAAAACATAGGTAATCACTCGTAAACATATGAATCTGATTAACATAATGATTTTGTAATCCGTGAATTTAGAATCTTAGAATGTAAAGAGTAAATATTTTTTAAACTTAATAGACTTAATTTACTGATTTAATTTGTTAATCTAGTTACTTATAATCATTAGATTGTCAGTAAATCCTAATATTCGTTAAGACACGTTACCAATCCAACTATTGTGATTAATTACGTCAGAAAATAATGTCAGCAAATTAGTCCAAATAGTAT